AATCGCATAATTTAAAAATGATATTTAAAATATATAAAATATTTGTTTATGTTGGTATTAAATATATTATAATAATTATACGTATTATGAATAATGTCAAATTTTAATTGATTACATATTACATTATAATAATAATATTATATCCTATTTCTTTACTATACTATTATATCGTTTAGGTTCAATCAAAAGATACTAATTTTATTATATTTCGAATGACGCAATAATTAATATATATTTTTTTTTAATTTATACAATTTAATAATACAGAAACGCAAAATAGGAAACAGACCACTCAAATTTGTAAAAGGAAAAGTAATTAAGACTATATAATTCATAAAGTACATTTAATTATGAGAATAATGTTAATATACAATTTTTCTAAAATATAGTAAACGTTTTGATACTCGTGCGCAATGGTTTTAGGCATCTCGAGTTCGAACCGCACAAAGGAAAAAAAAATCATAACGAATGTTAAGAAGCAAAAARAGAAATAATAAAAAATAACAAACAAACAAAAAAAGTAAAAAGAAACATTCTGGGTGTCTGAACGTGCACGTTTTACAAAACGCATATAAGGAGGAGTAGAACCTTAAATGCACGGGAGTATTATAAATGCGTCTGGGACGTTCCTTCTTGGTTCACCTTTTTTCAAATAAGTATTACTACGAAATACGCGGGCTCGATCGATTCTTCTTTCTGAGAATTTGTGTAGTATGTTCCCTTTTTTTATTTTATTTTATTTCATTTCATTTCATTTATTCATGTGCACCATAACAACGATCAATGGTATTCACAAGGGAGAAGTGAGATAAAGCAAAATCGTTTAGTCGATTTTTTTTTTTTTTTAGAAAATTTTCGTCTAATTTATAAAAGTGTATTAAGAAAATTACTTCCGAAGGATATCGTAAATTTTCTCAATTTACAAAAAAGAAAAACAAAAAAAACTATTATTAAATATTTTTGCAATCTATTATTGTTCATTCTGATAAGACGATTATGATTTTTGTTTTAACCCATTCAGTTTTGTTACTTCTGATGTTTGTTTGTGTGTGTGTTCTTTCTTTTCTTGTTTCTTTTTTAAATTGCGACAAGATTTCATTTTTGTATAACATGATGGGCCCTTTCTCGTTTAACTTTCTTAGCAGTTGAATCCCCTTGCGGCAAAGTTATCGGCCTTTGGAATCGGGAACGCATTTATAGAAACTCGAACAGAAAATACCTTCGATTCTCGCCTTGTTGGTAACAAAATCATGGTAACTTTTTTTACTTTATAAATCATAATACTGACGGTTGATTGATAAACAAGAAAAATTGTATTCTCAATTGCTCGAAATTTTAATAGAACACAAAAATAAAATGAAAAACTATTTTTATACGTTCGAAATATAATAGAAAAGAAGAGGAAGAAGAACAATTTTTTTATCGATAAAAATTTCGTGGTTTTGCTTTGAATGGGGCAAAAATAAAATAGGTGGGTCCTGGGGAGTGAGGTCTGAAGAAAATAAAAAAAAAATCGAATGGAATTTAGCTGACGTAATTTTTTTGTTACCTTTTCAAGTTGGTATTGCCGACAATGAAAGGCGATTTTAGCTTGAACGTAGGGAAAAAATGCCGGCCTTATAGCTCCCCGGTATTTTTCCAACATCATAAAAAATACTTTTACCGGAACTTTCTAATCTTTCTAGGCGATTAATCGCGAGTGATCCTTCTTGCAATAACTTGAACGTATATTTCAAGCAGAATTGCGTTCCTTTGTGCGAGAGTCCTTGGCCTCTCTTAACGTTTGAAAAACGCTGAAGGAAATATTAACGTTAATATAGCTCAAGAAATTAATGAAAAATATATATATATATATAAAAGAACCAAAAGCATTCATAATTAAAACATCACTTGGATCTATTATGAAAAAAAAAAGGAAAAAGGAATATTAATTTGACAGAGTACTCCAGTATTTGTATTATTTTTTTTTTTTAAACATATCAATTATATATCATTTCTATAATTCGATAAAAAATAAGCAGAAATAATAAAAGTATGTATAGAAATAAAAAAACACGAAAATAAAAATAAATAAAGAGAAGTATATAATAAGGGAGATAAATTAATACGTACGATTTTCTAGAAACACTTTTGAGATCTTTATAATCCCATTAACGTAAAGTCTAATAACAAAACGTTCAGCAGTTGGTTGGGTGTTAAATTCGAAAATCGTGTTTGCAAAGTTTCTAGGATAGGCGAAGAGTAAAGAGAGTAAGAGAGAATCGTATTCGTGGGCAAACTAAAACGAACAGAACGGTGGGCAGAGATTCTGGCAGGTGTGACAGGCCGGTTAACGTGAGGAAAGGTGCCACACGGTTGGCTAATACGGCAAGTTATCCACTTAGAAATTCGCCTTAATACAACGTAAGAGTGAGAAAGAGAAAACGAGAGTAATAAAGAGAGAGAGAGAGGGACAGAAAACTCAACTGAGGTGTTAGGACTCGAGCTTTCGTTGCACTCTCAAACCCTCTTCTCAGTCCTGTCTTCCATCCTTCTCATACTTCTACTCCCTACCAAAACTTTCAACACCGTCGAACACACCAACTCTGTATGCCACCCTGTTACCTAAGTTCGGATAAACCAAGCTAAGTTTCCAGTCTGCTACTTATGGAACTGCCAGCAAGGAAAATGCCATAGCTAAAGTTTATTCGCAGTTTAGGTTCCTGCTAGAGAAATACACGCAGACATTGATTTACATATCGATCAATTTATAATATAATATCTTAATCAGAGTTAAATTATTCTTTTTTTTTTATTTTTTTTTTTTTTTTTTTTTTTTTTTTAAGCGTTGATACAATTAAGGTAATTCATACGTAATTTTTTAACTGCGTATTTTTCATTGTTTTTTTTTTTTTTTTATTGATTCTTGCTGTCTTGCTGATTGATAGAGCGAATAATTTAAAATTTATAATTGTATGATATAGAAAATAATATTAGATGATCATTTTATCGATCGTGTAAATGATTTTGCTTTTGAATACTTTTCTTCTCTCTCTCTTTCTCTCTCACCCTTTTTTTCGATAAATAGATGAGTACAGATTTTATTTATAACACGATCAAAAAAGTGGAACGCGCCGAGAGAGAAAACGATTTTTAAAGTACGAAAAAAGAACGTAGAAATCAGGTTTGCGTTCTCGAAATTCTCGACCTACTTTTTATCCTGCTCGACAGTTTCGCTATGTGTTTTTTTCCCCCTCAAGGATACGCTGATTTTTAATTTATATTAAACGATATTCTCACGGTTATCTATATTATAAGATATTATCTATACATTGCATAGGATAGGCCCAACAATTTTTTGTTCGTTCATATTTATCAAAATTCTATTTCATTATCGTTTAGAAAATATATTACAATTTAAAACGATTATTAGATTAAAAATGTTCGAAAAATAGAATTTAATTGATATCGAAAATCACTTAAACGTTGTTGGCCTATTTACTACATCGATGATAAATTAAATTATTATTGATTAACATCGATATTAAATTAATTGAACGATAAAGTATTATACAAAAGTAAGATAATAATATTTTCGAAGAAAAATTTAACATCGAAATTTATCGAAAGTTCTTGTTACGATCATGCTGTTCTATAAAAATGATGTCATTTTTTTTCTCTCTCTCTCTCTTTCTCTTTTTCCCTTTTTTCTTATATCAAATCTAGTAGTTGGTTCATGCTGTGAGAAAATCGAAAAGGTTTGCCCTCGAAGTCGCGACTTTTGAGCAAACACATTTCCGTGCTTCTTTACGGTGCAAAATGTGCTAGATGGTTTCCTTCGACACCTTTCTTCCCTTTATCCTTTTTCTACACGGCCTTTTCGTATCGGCCTATGTAGAAGAAAAATAAAGAGAAGAAGAAGAAGTCTTTCCGTTCTTACATACCGTGTACACCATACGTATGTTCGTTCCATCGGGATTTGCAAAGGTTGGATTCGACGCACGATGTATCGAAGGTACGACGCCAAACTCTACGAAAAGTTGACACGAGACGAAATTGCTTTTGGCTTCTTTCGAAGTATACACATACACATATACACATACACGGTCATATGTTGTATATAATATGTATGTTGATTTTATAAACATTGTTCCAGTGTTTATAGATGTTTATACATTTTCTTTCTCTCTAACCGTTTAAAATTAATGTTAATCGATTCTTTCTTTATTTTTTTCTAAACTATTATTACGAATAGTAGAAAATATTTTAATGATGTATTTCTTTAAGAAATTATGATTTGATAGGTTGTAATATGAGCAGTGGTGAATTTAATTTTTTTTTTTTTTTAAATATGATATTATCTAATTCTATATTTTTATATAAAAACTAACAAAAGAATACAAATTGTGAGTGATGTATTATTTATATTTTTTCTTAAATTTTGTCTAAATTATTATAGGAATAATAAAAAAAAAAATTATTTGTATTATGCATTCACTTAGAAATTAAAATTATGTATATATTAATATGAACTGGGGCGATGTGAGTCTAATTTTTTTAACTATGGTATTACCTAATTTCAGATTTTTCAAACACAAAATAAAAGAAATTGATAACGTTACTATTGATCAAAACGACAAATATAATCAATTCTATGATCTTAATCTCATTGTCTAGATTAGAATATAAAATTTAGAAAGATAATAAATAATTCTTGAAAACAATATTTTTACATTTGATAAAACACGAAACAACGATGTATTATATCATGAGCTTTCATGTCGTGAGATCGTTTTCCTTGAGAGAAACGGTGCCGTCGAAAGCAGTTTAAAACATATCGTGCTAGTGTGCAACATGAAAAGAATCCATTTTCGAAGGCAATCTTTTCGAAAGCTACCTGGATGAAATTCACTTCAACTTGACCAGAGAAAAATAAGGAAAAAAAAAAAAAGAAAAGAAAAGAAAGGAAGTAAAATAAAAAAAAAGTGTAACATAAGTAGGGAAGCAAAAATGATACTCACAATATCGAAATCCAGGTTCTCGGCAATCCAATCCCTGCCTTGCTTGAACTCATCGTGCAAACCCATGATGTAAAGGGTATCCAGACCATCGACTATGGTCGCACCCATCGTGGACGTGCCGAAGATACTGGCGCTGTGGCCCTTCTTCGTGATCGGCCTTAGCTCGTTTTTCCCCCAGGCGTACCTCACGTAATTGTCCCAACCGTGCTTCATCATCTGGACAGGGCAGAAATAAACGTTCAAGTGGTATGCTTTTGATCGAGAAAACAGGGAAAAAGAGAAGGAAGGGGAGGGGGGGGGGAAATATAAGAAAGAAAGAAAGAAACAAAGAGAGAAAAAGAGGCAAAGAGGGATGGGGAGAGAGGGCAATAGTTTTTTTTTCTTTCTTTTGAACGAAAAACTAGTCGAGGAAATCTTGGAAACGATTAGGACCTTGCCAAGATCGTCGTCTTGTTGTCTACTATATTTTTTTTTGTATCTTTCATTTCTCCTATTTTTATTTTTATTTAGTATATTTTTTGTTGTTTTTGTGTTTGTTTTTTCCTAATCGGACTTATATTCGCCCATAATCGTCGTCGTCCTCGTCATTTCATGTTCCATTCCTTTTTACTTATTTCATTTTATTTAAACTAACCTAAGACGTTTTTAAAACGATATATTTGTTATTTACTTTTATTCACATATATCAGGTTTTAAAATAAAACAAAATATGAAATCAAATTGTTTCTCATCGAAATGATAGAAATTTATTTGTAAATAAATGACAAAAGAATAAACATTTGGTAGAAGTTCAGTAGTTGAAATTCAGGTTTCTTTAATAAGAGATATTTTTTGGGTAAAGGACCACCCAAGAAGAAAGAGAGAGAAGACGGTTTCACGGATTTCTTGGAAAAGTCGAAAAGAAAAGAGTGTATCACTTAGCGGTAGCTCGTAAGGAAGCTAGCAAAAGGATCGTTAAGGATCGTGGATATTCCAGGTGTTCCATGGGAGAGTCGTTGTTGTTCCTAGCGGTAACCGGTGGTATTCTGTGATGATAATTGCCCACGAGGCCTATTCTATGTCAGAGGAGGGGAAACGAGAAAGAGGGGCGTGGGGATGGAAAGTAGAAAGAAGCAAGAAAAAGAAACTTGTAGTGAGTGTTTCAACCAAGATAGAGAGAAAAAGACAGCACGGTTTGTCTCGTAAGAGAGACTCACCCGCGGAATGTTTCAAGTCCTTTCGTTTCTCCTCAACACACTGAAGAAAAAAACAAAAACGATGAGGAGACGTAGACAAAAAAAAAATAATATAAAATAAACAATATATACGCAGGAGAAGAAGAAGCAGAAGAAGAAGAAGAAGAAAAAGAAGTAGAAGAAGAAAAAGAAGAAATTCCACTTCCGTCCTGAGGTTGTTCGTTCCTACGTTTATCTTCTTTCTAAACCGCGAATCTTTTTCTATCTCCGTTTCGTTCTTTCTCTCTCTTTCTCTCTTTCTCTCATTCTTTCTCACACTCTTACATAGCCATCAGAGGTAGATGACTTCATTCCGTGCGAAATGAAGTTCGTTTCTTCTTGAAGACTTTTCCTCGAGTTACTTGAGAAACTCAGGAAATGAGAATTTGTTTTATTTCGAAGCTACGAAATGGGTATGAAGAAAAGACAACGAAAATAACGATACTAACAATAAGAGAGAAAAGGGAGACTTGAAAAGAAAGTTAAACCATACACCTATTCGACTTTTACCTTCTTGTAATATAAATCTGAGATGATTCGCGAAAATGAGAGTGTTGGTGTGGATGGATTTTAAAATTGTTTAAGAAGTTTTGTAGAAATTGTTATTTACACAATATAACAAAATAATATCGATGTCATCAAGATAATATCTTACAAAGTGATAATAATATCAATGAAAATTTGTTCAAAATAATGGTGAAAAGTGTAAGGAAGAGAATTGAGTGACTTTTTTTTTGTTACTAGCCACCATCCGTGTAATATTATTTTTTGTTCCCCTTATGACTTTTTGTTCCATTTGTTGAGGATACCTTCGGTCACGGCACCCTCATCGTGTTTTTATGACGGCATAATTTAAGGGCAATATAATAACCAACCACTTTTATTCGTCCACAGTGCTAACGGCAGAAGCCGTGATATTTTTACTCTTTTGCCATCTTATAGAGAGATTGGAATAAAAATCAAAGAAATGTAGTTTTATATCTTTCTCTCATTCTTATCTCAGGTTGTAATGGAATGAAAAGTAAGTACAAAGTGGTGATCAAAATTTGTTATGACGAGTTTGAATTTATTATTTCGAGTGCCGTGGAAAGAATTCTGACTAAAAGAACATTTGAAGTACTGTACTAGAGATGTTTGAATTATCGGAAACTTATTAGATATCGAATTGAAATGAGTACAAAGCGATGATAAAAAAAATTCTAACAATATTAATTTGAATTTATTTTATCGAGTATCGTGGACAAATCTTCAAATAAAATTTAATGAACGTTCGTAGTAATAATTTTTGTATTAATTAAACATTTGTTTTTCAATTTTTGTCAAAAATTAAAATTAGAACGATAAAGTAGTTTCTTGTCAGGTATAGGAATGAAAATTTGAAATGAAAAAGATTTGAGTCGATTGTGAGGATGTTATCACTCAGGACGAGAACATTGGAAATTGTAGGCAGCTTCGACGTGTCAGGTTTGCTTCGGTGCTCGTGCATCGTGGCTATCAACCCTTCCACCATTATCCATGTAATCGCGGCTAATTTGTTCGTAGAAACCACGGTAAATGTTCGCCGCACGAGCGGCCCTCGGTCGGTAATCTGGTTAACATCCATGTTAGGATTAAACCATTAGCCTCGGTGTCAGAGACCGGGGACTAAGGATGAAGAGAAAGAGAAAGAGAGAGAGAGAGAGAGAGAGAGAGAGAGAGAGAAAGTGAGAGACAGCGAAAGACAGTGAGAAAGTATATGAAGAAAAAAGAGATGGAAGTAAAGCTTACGTAGAGGACGTGTGGCTTCACTCAATTATTCGCCATTTGCTGGCGCCATTTTCGCGCGCTAACTTTCTTCCTTTCTTTAAAAGTCTTCTCACGTTAGTCACTTTTTCTTACAATTAGTCCCCGTTTGTTTCTTTTTTTTTTTTTCACGTGTTTCCTTTTTCCTACAATTTACAGGCAATTTTGTAAAGTGATTCGTGGGAAGATTAGAAAACACTGATTTTGTTTGTATTTATATTATATTATACCAAGGTATCCAATTAAATTCCTCATTTTATTCTATTCACATCGAGGAAATCCTAAAAGAAGCAGATTTATCAAGCTTATCTATTGGAGATTTTTGGGAGTCGAATTCAACAGAGAAATAATACAATAGGAGAAATACGATTTCCAGTTGGACTAGCTTTGACACGAATTAATCTGTACCAGTGCACATCACCACCACAACCAACCGACCAGCTAACCAACCAACCAACCAACCAACCAACCAACCAACTACCCAACCAACAGAATGACCGACCCAACGACCGACTATGTTGGTGGTTTTTTTCGAGACCAATGCTGAGGACACTCGAGTGCTCGAATGGAAAATTTCGTTGGGACGAATAGTGCGAGCGAGAGTTGAAAGTACCGTCGAACTCTGTTGCGAACTATGATCCTTGAAAATTGAAAACGGGAAGATATATTTCCAAATTGGCCGTATCCTGAATTTTCATTAATAACACACAGGAAAAGTTTTAAAAAAATAAAGAAAGAAAAAATATAAAGAGAGAAAAGTAAATAGAAATAGAATAAAGGGTGAGGAGTGGGATTGCTTTGATTGTAAAGTTAAAAAAAGAAAACAAATAAATTTATTGGAAAATACATAGAAAAACATGATTATTTCTCTCTCTCTCTCTCTCTCTCTCTCTCTACTTTTTGTTTATTATCCTAATTTCAGTTTAAATATCAATCAAATTAATTCAAAGTTATTTGCTTTATATTTGAATGCTTAAATAAATTAAAAATTGAAATGTTATTGATTTCAATAGAATGATTTAATTCATTGTGAATATCTAAATTGTCTAATGAACAAATAAATCCATTCTTCCTAATTTGTATTAAAAGAGCATTCAACTTCCTAACATTATTTTCGATGATTGAATAATTTATCAAAGACTTCCTGTCTCCATTGATATACCATTCCATTTTGAATCAAAATCCATTTCATATTTTAACATTAATCGATTAAAGAATTTCTCTGGAATCAAAGGTTAAATGATTCTTGCTTATTGTCAAAAACGGAAGGATAATTTTGGAATTATCAACGTGGACGCGTTCCAGGATGAGCGATGGTTCGTTGGATCGAAATTCGAGATTCTTGGGATTTAATGAGATCACGTAACGAATGGACGCCTATAATTGGACGCGTCCTGCCGTGAAGTCGGGCTCGCGCCTCGATGCACCGGATGATCCTCAGGGAACCGTTCGCTATGTATAATACACACGTAGTAATATAGTCTATATATTATATATGTATATACATATATATATATATATATATATATATATATATATATATATATATATATATATATATATATATATAAAATATATAATATATATGTAGATCTAGGGAAAATGTATAAACGTCTTTTGCAAAAGGAGCAAGTTGAAGGTAATTTTCCGCTTAGCGAGCAAGAAAAACTGGCAACGATAACGTTCTCCTTCAAGCGTTGATGTAGTCCAATCGCTTACTTCATAAGACCTAAATATATATGTATATATCAACATTAAATTTAGTAAATATTTTCTACTACTCTCTATCCTAAGATTACGTGTCTCGAAAATGTGAAAATCTTGTTAACGAAAGAGGAAAAAGAAAGAAGGTAAAAGAGTAAGTATAACGTGTTCATAAAGGATTTTCGAGGATTCACTCTGGACATACTGGGACCAAGAACATGGTACTGATGGAAGAGTTTAAGAATGGTTGTTGAACGTGTTGGTGTGTTGCACCGGTGGGCGCCAGGATACACTATAAATTCCTGTCTCAGCAAGCTCTTGTATTTTTTTTTCCTTGCGTACAAAAGGATTGGACTGGCACTGGGCTTAGAGGGTTCAGTCTGGAGCCTGGCAGGGCGTGAGAGCCACGACACTATGGGACTGTCTCTTTTTCTTTTTCTTTCTCTCTTTTTCTCTTTTTCTCTCTCTTACTCTTTTCAACGTACAAAATTCGCTGTTGGAGAGTGCCTTAGGAGG